TGATACACCAAGAGCTCAGCTGATACCTCTAATAGATTCTAATAGCGATAATAGACTTTATAATCATAGGCGATAAAAATAGACGTTACTCCAACCTAATAGCAATCCTAATAGCGATGGCCTCCAACCTAGTAGCGATGGCCTCCACCCTAACTGGATTCGATGAAGGTAGCTACATGCTGTCCACTTCAATTACAGCATTAACATCCCCCAGTCTCTGGAGGATGCTACCCAGTTTCGCAGCTGTGGAGTGTTGCTAGCCACTGGAATTTAGCATGTTGGATGGTGTAAGGCCGTAAATGGCCCTAGTCTCCTGCTGCATTTGGTCAACACATCTCAACACCCAATGCGCACTTCATTCTCAGGTCGTCAAAAAATCGCTCCGCGGCTACTTCTTCCGGAGACATGTATTTCGGCATGGACTTGACCTGGCTCAAGCATGGGTCAAAGCCGAGACCGGCGTCAAAACACGTTTTTGTTCTGTATGTGGGGAAAAGGATTCCAGTTTGGCACGAAGCTAGAACGCAAAGTGTAGACAACCGACACACATACACATATGTCCTGACACAGCCAAGATTGGGAAATGGAAGTCTCGTCTTTATCTGGAGTCCAAAAGGACGTATTGGCTCTGGCAGACTGGCAGACCCGATTCTTCCATCAACAAAGGCCAGCCAAGAAAAGCACATCACGGTGGGAGTTTTATCTTGGAAAAGGTGATGTACATGTACGTGATGCACGGATTCCGACAGGCATTCGACACAACTAGATATTGGCCCACAAACATCATATTACAGTAGATGTATATTTGTTACGAGAGCTACAATTATATAGTAATAGTAATGTATAGTTATGATATGTATTGATATGTATGATAATAGTAGACTGCTGTGATCCTCTGGCAGATTCCAGAGGTATCTTTCAGATTCTTTCAGAAGTTCTTGGGAGTTCATCCTCTCCAGGTCCCGGTCTGCCCGGGTTGAAGCCTTCTCGGAGACTTCGATGCTTGCGATCTCATTGTAAGTCTCGCGGGCCGCAAGAGCCAGCCCGGACTGTGGGAGGGTCTCGAAGCTTGTGTCCCAAAGAATTTCAACACCCTGAGACAGCCTTGAGACCCTCTTCGGACGGTCTGCAACCAACGACAGAGGTGAACGTGTTTTGATGGGGAGTCTGAGATTCAGAGTCACGGTGTTGAGCTCCGGAGAACAAATCACCTCCCAAAGTCATTTGGAGGGCTGCCATGGTGTCGTCTCAAAGAAACTGTGCAACCAGCCTACTGTTCACGGATGTTCAAGGCAGATCTGAATTGAGTTCAAACATTCACGAGGTGCGAAAGAAGAACCACAGAAATATGAGTCGTCTCAGGAGTCGTCTCCTCCAAAAAGATGCGGAGGAGAACCACTGTCGTTCCGAACCGGATCAAGGTCGTTCCGAACCAGATTCTCAAGTGTTCACGGAATTCTCCAAGTGTTAGATCACATCTCAGACGAAACCCGTTAAGAGACCCACATGGAACCTGAACATGGATGAACATGGACCTTTGGAAGACGATGGGTCCGTGAGTTTTTCCTCTACAACCCAATTCTTAGGTTCCATGTGGGTCTCTTCCAGAGAATATCTGTCCATCTCTGTACCCTCCCAACATGCATCACTTCCGGTCGCCACCCTCGAGAACCGAGAGCGTTTTTTCGTGGGTTCTCAGCCGGGCGAGAGTGAGATGCCACGTCACGAGTGGGTGCGTTCGATGGGCGGGGATCAAAGACAACCCATGGTGCACCATGGTGCAACCCCTCACCTCGAGTTCAGCAAAACCCACGGATCACCATCTTCTGCAGCTGTTGATTTCTTCGGGTTCTGCGGGTTCCGCGCGCCAACCGGGACCGGCGGGGCTGGGACATCGGTGACCCGAGCGCCTGTGTCTGATCCTTCTTCTTTGCTCTTAGAGAGACTCCCCTCTGAGCATGTGTCGATGGGCCTGCAGGAATGCAATGGGTCAGAACTGGGTTCGACTCTCTGCGAGGAAGACGAAGAAGGCAACATTTTAAGATGGATCACTTCGATCCGACAGTAGCCGTTCTGGGATTGCTCTGCCACATGCTCAATTATGGATGTCCTTAAGGATCCTAAGGTGTCTTTGCGAAGCACGTATTCAAGAAAAGGCCGGTTTGCGCATCGGCTGCTTGTCTTGTGTTTATACACAGCTTGGGACTCTACAACCATCAAGCGGCCCTCACGAATTCAACACTCATTGCGTCCAAGGTGTACCCCAACCACACACAATTCCGGTGAGGCCAACCAAAGCAACCATGTAACATAGATCCATCTTGGAGCCGGGGCTAACCCCAAGCACAAACAAGTCTCACAAAACACAATGCTCTGTCGACCGTGCAAACCACCTCAGATCATCTGGTGAGTCTCAGAGTATCGGCCGCGCCTGTAAAGCCAACGGACCAGAGACAACTGGCCTGGCAAACCACAAAGAGGGTCCCCTGGTCGGGGTCCTGGTCGGGTGTGGTCCACTGTAATAGTGCGACCTGTTCGATGTGACGAAGAACTACTTAGTCTCCTCCGAAAATATGTCAAGCCTCCATAGGAACAAATTTATTCAATCCATATCTTGTGTTGATCTAAGAGTCTATACATGACCAAAGACCCACAGTCGCTCCTGAAAGATCCTGATGGCACTCCAGCGCCCCAAAGCCCTGATGACCCCCGCAGGTATCAGTAGATAACTGACTTTACGATCAACGGGGCCTCTACAGTAACTACTTCAATCGCGTCCAATAGCAACCCACTCTTGGGTTTAGGGTTTAGGGTTTAGGGTTGTGATGATCGATCAGCTTTTTCATCCACAAGTCTTTTGGGATCTTTTGGGAGAGTTGATTCATGTCAGGTTGCTTCTATATACCTGCTGATTGTACACCTCTAGGTGGAAGCCAGGAGTGCATGAAGTCCTCGGGTGCAGAGGCTCTGATGGGAATATGTTCGTCTGCTGTGAGGCTCCAAAGTGGTGTGGATCTGAGGTCTTCTGATTACCCAAGTTCCTAGAATAATCTTGAGGCCCTCAAGGCTCCAAACAACAAACATATGGCAAAATCAGCTTAAGTGAATGATTATGAAATCCTATTGTGAAGTGCTGTCCCTAAAGATATCTCAGCACACCTTTTCTTCTCAATTGTCTCGTCTTGACTGGGCATGATGGGTATGTTGGTTGGTTGCTGGTTGTGGGTTGCGCGCACCTTTTCCTTACACGCCTCATGCACTGGCAGTTGATGAACTGTCCAATCCCCACACAAGAAGGATGAAAATGACTCGAATAGAGCATTTCTGCAACATACAGAATCAAAGCATATCAAAGCAATTGGCAATGTCTTTATTATCTTTATTGGCTTCTGAGAGATGTGATGTTTGATACTTACGCAGATGTGGTAATGAGGGGTTAGTAAACGTGAGCATTCTTACAGATCGAAACGGCCTCCAAAACCAACCCAAATGGTTACAGTACTGTACTCATCGCCAGAGAAGCTTAAGCAAAAGCCTGCAGATTGAGATACCCCGATGAAGGCAGTAAACAGAAAAAGGGACAGCAATCTAGGAAAACATGAGACATCCATGTATACACCTGAAGCACAGGAAAGTGATGCCCAAACCCTCAGCACCATGAACACAATGTTATATACTGTATAATTTTGGTGGATTTAACCATCCATGGTTATGCTATGTTATGCTGCTATGCTGGCATTTTCTAGGTGTGGATATCTCCAAGCTCTGATCCCTAAGCACAGCCGTTATATAAATAACGCGGCCCAAGGTCTAGAAAAAAGCAACGAGCACGGAACAGGTTTCTATTTCATCTGCATAGTTTAGCCATGTTTAGCTTTAGCTTTAAATCATAGGATCAAATGAGAATTTCTCTGTATTGACTCAATCTGAAGTCATCTGAAGTCTGGATCTCACAGCCAGACTTCCCCTTCCACTGGCCCCCAAATGAACAACAACCCCGCGGCCAATCTTGGGCATGCCAACCAGGGCCAAAACGCCGAGGACGGGCCGCCTGTGGGCAGAAGGCATCGAAACAAACATGGCCTCCACCCTAGTAGTGATGGCCCCCAATCTAATAGCCATGGCCTCCATTTTGAGTTGATTATAACTATTGGATATTCTTAGGGTCTCAATGTCAAGCAAATCCCTGGAATCCACGAAATGAAAGATCTTGCGTGCGAAAAGCCGACAAAAAGGGACCCTATCACCCTCTCGATGTCCAAACCCGTGGTAATGGTCGTCTTTCTTCAACCTACCAGAAAGAGCCACCTCTTTCTGGGTCTTCAGCCTCCCAGACTCCCCAGCCATCGAATGGCAGTCACTTGGGTGTAAAAGCTGAAAGCGTTTCTTTTTCTGCTCGCATCTTCGGCCCACAAAACATGCTTGGAACCGTGATGGAGGATGTGCATCCTGGTGCTTGTCAAGCATCGAATGGAAGGAAAGCTTGGGCACCGATCGACCGCTGGGAGGCAGATTCTATGAAAATGAAACAAACAAGAAACAAAGACAGGACTCACATGAAGACAAGAACAAAGAGTAAGTTAAAAACAAGAACTCACATGAAATCACAAATCCCAACAAAGACTAAAACACCACACACCCCCCCGTTCACCACGCCTGATCATCCTGCAGCGCGCTACTGAAAGGGGCCCGCTCACAAAACTCGGCTCCCTAATAGTGAGCCACAGCGACAAAGACACGAAGACGGTCACAACGCAACGAGAAACAAACCCGTGGACCTTTATGGACCCGTGGAACCAAAATGAACCAAACATCCTGCCAGAAATCCAGGCGCATCCACATCGGTTGGTGACCGATTCACAGCTCACCGACGTTGGATCCTCAAATCGTGCTCATTATATGCAAACGTTGGAAAATAGTGCCACTAGGGTACGAACCCAAACTACAGTCGTTGTCCAATCCTCGTCTGGGTCCTCTGCTTTCCCTGTCTCAGGCCATTTTGCGGTTCACAAGCCACAGCTCAAGCATCTGCAGCTTCTGGGTAGCCTCCTGGCAGCGCAAAACACAGAACAAAGTCCTCCATCTATGCATCTTTGACTGAGTGGACTGAATGGCAGTAGTAGTAGTAGTAGTAGTAGTAGGAGTGGGAGTAGGAGTAGCAGGAGCAGGAGCAGGAGCAGGAGCAGCAGCAGCAGCAGCAGGAGGAGGAGGAGTAGTAGTAGTAGTAGTGTTGTAGAGCCAGAATTTGGCAAGCTGGTCCCATTGATATATGAGGTGCCGTCAAAATCAATTGTTTAGGTTTAGGATTGAGGACTGATGCGAAAGTAGAAGTTGTTGCTTTGGGGGGGGCCTATCGCCTTACATCGCTTTGCATGAGGAAAGCAACATGTTTTAGCATAAACTCTGGAATCCATTCCTCACACGCTCGAAAATGGATGAATGACTTCTTCGTTCAGGTGCAATCATTGAACCATCATTGATTGAACATGATTGAATTTGATCTCAAAGGGAATGACAAAAGCACAAGCAATCAACTGTTTTCTCTGTGGCTTGTAGGAACAAATGGGTTTCTGGAGAACAATGAACATGAATCCGCCGACCCCGGCCTATACCCAAAGCCTAGGCGGCGAGGCGCCTGGGACACCGCAGGGTGAAGCAGTTGGCCAAGCCTTGCAGAACCATTCCAAGCACTTCCAAAGGCATGTGTGCAGGCGCATTGTGGTTGGCCGCGGCCTCTCGGTGGCCTGTCCGAGGCCTGCCTCTCCTCTTCTTATGGGCTTTTCCGAAAGCAACGTTAGACACCCACGGGCCCCGCCCTCAAACGCTTCTCGGCAGCCGGCAGGCCTGCCCCGGCCTCTCTGTGGCTGTCCGAAGCCTGCCTCTTCTCTTCACCCACGGGCCCCGCCCGCAAACGTTTCTGCAGGCCGCAGCTTGGCCCACAAAGCTTCTTCTATGGGCTTCCGAAGGCAACGCGGCCTCTCTGTGGC